CTGAGGTGGCTGATGTCCAGGTAGCCTTCTACTATGGCCACTATGAAGAATATAGTTCAATATGGAGTGAGTTTGCCACAGCGGCCTTGGCTCACGATTGATCTCATTTTGTTATATCATTTTTGTTTTGATTTTAATTTGCATTAGTGCACCTGGCCTAGAATTCCAGATTGTATTAATCCAGTAAATAAACAGGCCAGGGTCTTATTTATCTCCTGGGCCTGTGGAAGAGGGAATCAATCAGCATTCATCCATGTCAAGTGTTATGTTCAAACACAACGGTCCCATTTTTTAAAAAAAATAGGCTTCCTTTTTTTCTTTTTTTCAGTCCTGGGGGGGGGGGGAGGTCGAATTGAAGTCTCGAGAGAAAATATGTTTAACGCCCCTCCCCACTTCTCAGCCGTTTCTCCTCCATCTATGAATACCAGTCTATAAATGATTCTGTCAAGCCTCAGGTAGCTGGCAAGGCCACGGAAGCAAGAGTGACAGGAATTTCAGAGAGGGAGTGTTAATGCCAGCCTGGGGTAAATGCAGAACCTTAGAAACTGTCAGAAGAATTTCCCAGTATCAGTTATAGTGAGTGAATGGAGGCAGAGTCTCTTTGAGGTGCTTTTCCCCACCTGCCTCAGCACCTGGACTGAGTCACCTTTGCTGAGATAATATTTCAACGGACTCTCTCCCGACTTCCCCCACAGTCTCTCAGCCTTCACAGAAATGCAGCACAGGAGGGGGGGGAGCTTCTGCGGCTGAACCATCTGCACCCCTTTTTAAAATACACAGGCAAAGTTGCGCTGCAGCTACCCCAAAGAGTTGCTGCCAATTAAAAGGAAAGATTCATTTTTTTCTCAAAAAAAGGCTTTGGAAATAGAAAGTATTCCAACCTTATATTTCTATTTTAAAACCTTGAAGAATTCTGATCTTTGTTCTGATCCTTATTGGAGAAGAGCAAATTATGTCACAGATGCGGGATCAAAAAAAGTGAATATGGCCGCCACAATTGTGTGACTGAAGACCCTTTTGAGCATCTATGTTGCATATACAGGCTTTAAGACTTCAGGCCCAGTCACCATCTTGACTGCTTTTGATCCTTTTAGGATTCCTCTATACAAGAAGCACAGTGGAGTCCAGACTTATGGAGGAACAGCCAGTTTCTTATATACTTTAACAGATTAACAGAGTTGCAAGGGGCCTTTCAGATGATCTAGTCCAACCCCCCGCTCAAACAGGACACGCTACATCTGTTCTACCTAGGATCGAACTCACAACCTCCTGGTTGTGAGGCGAGAACTCCAATTTTAGGCCGCAGAGACTTACATAACTGAGCTTTCTCCTCACAAATTAGTTATAGGAAGCCTTCAAGTGCTGCTGTAATGTCAGAGGAAAAAATGGGGCAAAAACATTTTGGCTCATTTTTTTCAGCAGATGTAGGGGTTAGATTATATGAAGATGTGGGTTGAGGTACTTTCAATATGCAGAAGATATCCAGCTCTTCCTCGCCGTATTATAGGTGAAAGAGAGGGTATTCTGATGCAGGGCTTGGGCAAAGAATTGGACTGGATGAAGGCCAGACAAGACGGAGATGCTTGGTGTAGGTGGTATATTTGTCCAGCTGAGTCCTATTTTGGCCAATATTTGATTTGATTTGATTTGATTTGATTTGATTTAATGAATTTATAGGCTGCCCAATCCCGAAGGACTCCGGGCAGCTTACAGAAAATAAATTTTAAAAAGTAAAGAGTTAAAATATTAACATATTATGCTAGTTCTTTACCATTTACAGTGGCTCTGACCCAAGTTACCAGAAATAGTGCTTTCTCCCATACATATCTGTTGTGGCCCAGCAGGAGCCATTGGAGCTGCCACCAGACTCCGACAGCGAGGAGCCCTCTGAGTCGGCTCTGGAGGATGTGGAGGACCCTGGACAGGGTTCCGACTCCAAGCAGGGCACCGAGAGGCTGGTTGGCCACCAGAAGGCGCCTGAGGCCAGGAGCAGCGGTGAGAGCCAAAGGGAGCGTGCTC